GCACACACACGCACACACGCACACACGCACACACCTACACACACGCACGCACACCCACACGTACCTACATACAAACACACGCACACACCTACACACACCAACACACACGCACGCACACACACACGCACACACACGCACAAACACGCACCCACACACACCAACACACACCAACACACACGCACGCACACACGCACGCGTGGTCCGGGGGGTGGTGGAGTCGAGGCACGTGGAGGAGACGCGGAGACGTCACCCGCGCTCGCCAGCGGTGCTTGAAGGTCCTGCCCGGCCCCCACCCTCCCTCACCCCCCAACATCTCTCCCCTTCCTATCGTATTACCCCCCCCCCGACCCCCACACCCGTCTATGTCACCCCCACCTCTCTTTCCATCTCTCTCTCTTTTTACGATCAGAGGAAACAAGAAGATGCTCGATGTAGTCGGGTTTTTTCGTTATTCCTTGCTTTGCGTTACGTGCCCCCCCCCCCCCCCCCCCCCCCGCTTTTAAAATGAAAGATTTTTCGTGTTTTCCATTTTTAAACAAAATCAATCTGTGCTACTTTCTTCGTAAAACACCAAGACGAAGAAGCACGCTCGGCTCCTCCTCCTCCTTACCCCTTCCCCCTCTCTCTCTACCCCCTGTCTCTACCCCCTCTCTCTACCCCCTCTCTCTACCCCCTCTCTCTACCCCCTGTCTCTACCCTCTCTCTCTTTCTATGTTCCCCCTGTTTTCGATGTAATGTTTTCTCTCTCTCTCCCCTCCCTCTCTCCCCTCCTCCCTAGCTCCCTCGCTCTCCAATATGTTACCTCTCTCTCTCTCGTCTCCCCCCTCTATCTCCCCCCCCAACCCCTCTCCCTTATCCCTCCCCGTCTCTCACCTCTCCCCTCCCTCTCTCCTTTGCCCATTCCTTCCTCTCCTTCCGCCCTATCCCTTCTCCCCATCTCTCCCCCGCCGAAAGGAGCGCCTGTGCCACGTGAATGTCTCTGTGATTGCTCTCCCACAAATATCCCCCCCCCCCTCTCCACCCCCCTCCTATAACCTCCTCCCCTCCCCCCACCTCCTCCCCTCCGTGCCACACTTCCCTCCTATGCCCACCATCGCCAGCGTTGACACTGCACCATCATCACCATCATCGCGACAACACCGGTGCACCATCACATTGCCGCAGCACCATCACGTCGACGGCACCATCGACACCAGCAACCCAAGCGTCACCATCATCCTCACCATCATCCTCACCATCATTCTCACCATCATCCTCACCATCACCCTCACCACCGCCACCACCACAGCCATCGCAGCGGCGCTGTGCGCGCGGGTTCCCTCCGCACGGGTTCGATTGCTCAGAGGCGACCGTGCCACCACAGACGGCCATGATGATAGCCTCCTCCCGCCCACCCCCTGCCCACCCCCTGCCCACTCCTCTGTCCCTGCAACCGCCCCTGGCTGCCGGCCCTGCCCACTAACCTTGTCGGCTGCCCTGCCCACCTCCCAGTCCATTGCCCTGCCATCTGTCTTGCCCCGCTGCCCCTGTCAGCTGCTCTACAAGCCAGCCCCGCCTTGCTACCTTGCCAGCGACCCTGCATGACGCACTCACACCGACCCCTCGCTCACAGCCATGCGCGATCCCGGTTCGACGGCAGATGCGAGTGTTTCATTACAGACGTGAACTAATTAATTTCCGCGCTCACGCGCACGCGCGCGCATGTGGCTCGCACGCACCCGCGCATGTATCCGTATTTGATTACAAGCAGATGTGGATGGGTGCAAACGTGCATGCATGCACGCACAAACGCAAATGCGCACGCATGTATATATACGCGCACAAAGGACGAAGATCCCCCGTGTGGCCTTCAACAGAGTGTTGGGACAAGTGCTGTTAGTGAGTAGCACCTGTGAAGGCCGGAACGTCACACGAGGGGGTGGGGTGGCCAGCGCTGATGTTTTCAGTCCGTACCGGGTACTTGTTCAATGCTGAGTCGACCTAGGCGAGCCCCGCATCCTGATTCAGATAATCGTCAATAGTATTTGGGCCGTGAATGGGAATCGAACTCGGGTCGCCGGGTTCGTATCGCAGAGCGCTAATCACTACACTACCGCTCCATCCCTATAAACACACACACACAAATAAACACACACACACAAATAGACACACACACAGACACAAATACACACACACACACACAAATAAACACACACACAGACACAAATAAACACACACACACACACAAATAAACACACACACACAGACACACACACAGACACACACAGACACACACACACACACAAATAAACACACACACACAGACACAAATAAACACACAGACACAAATAAACACACACACAAATAAACACACACACACAGACACAAATAAACACACACGCGAACACAAATAAACGCACACGCAAATGAACACACACAGAGACACAAATAGTGGAAACCCAGAACCGACTGAAACATTTCGCCACTCTTGTCGACTTCCGCTCCCCGCGTTCCGTATCGTGGTGCGCGGTTAGCTACGTACGGTGTGAAAGAAGTTAAACACACATACGTACAACCTACACCCACCGCTCCCCACCCCTACACACACACACACACACGGTGGCGGCTGGGGGGTAGGAGAGCAACTGCTCTCTGAACCCGGCCACCGAAGATCGATTCCAGGCCACGGCTAACATCAGTGGCCAGTGATCTCTGAACCGGTGCCTAATGGGCGCCACCACCGCCTCACCAACACGCAACTGACCAGCGGGGTGAAGTATGGCCAGACAACCCCCGCGACCGACACGGGGGAGATATTCATCCAGCAGTGGATTGGCAAAACCCCGTCAATCAAAGTAATGTATTCTTGCACGATACGCAAAACACAAATATCTCCCCGTGTAGGTTCTATGAATGCCGGCACAGCACACGAGGGGGTGGGTGGCCAGCGCTATGCCTGGACGCCTTTGTCTCCCCAGTGGTGATGCTTACACGCCACACCAGGCACTCAGTTGAGGCTGAGTCGACCTAGGGGAGGCCCAGGGCCGATTAAGAAAATCGTCAGCGGTGTTGGTGGCCGTGAGCGGGAATTGAACCCGGGTTTTTGGGTTCGTAACGCAGCGCAGCGCTAACCACTACACGATCGCTCCCCAATTACAAAGACCACCCGTCTAGCCTGTAACAGACTGTTGGGGCAAGTGCTGTTAGCGAGCACCTATGAAGGCCGGCACGGCACACGAGGGGGTGGGTGGCCAAAACAACGCCCGGTCGCCTTTGTCTCCCTAGTGGCGATGTTTGCACACCGCACCAGGTACTAATTTAAGGCTGAGTCGACCTAGGGGAGGCCCAGGACCGGTTCAGATAATCGTCACTGTTGTTGGCCGTGAGCGGAATAGAACTCACCAGGTTCACAGCGCAGCGCGCTAACCGCTACACCACCGCTCCCCATACACACACACAGACACACACACAGACATGCACACGCGCACACACACTCACAAGACAAAGATGCCCCGTACAGCCTTGAGCAAAACTGTTTGGCCGGGTGCTGTGACCGTGCACACATTGAGGGCGGCACGGCACACGAGGTTAGTGGAGCGGCCAGGCACCACACCCGGCCGCCTTTGTCTCCCCACAGCTCATGTTCTACGAATTATATTGGCGATGCTTCTACTGCTGCCGCCGCTGCTGCGTTGGCAGTGATGCACAAGGACAATCAACAACAGCAACAACAAACTCCACACACTCGTCAACAACACCGGCTTCAAAGAAAGGGAAATTAAAAACGGTCAAGTCGGCGTCGTTTCGTGCAATGGCCACGAGCGCTGCACGGTCGAGGTTCACCCGTCCAGTCAGGCTCGCGTTTCAAGGACCAGTCGGTGTCGGGAGAGGAGACGTTCGGTGTCGTTTGGTCGTTGCCTGGAATGGAACTCAGGTCGCCGGGATCGTCGTGCACAACAACACCACCACCACCCCACAACAACAACAACAACACACAACAAACACCCCCTACGAGAACACACACCACGAGTGCGCGTACCAGTACAGCGATGAAGACGACTCCGTATAGAAAATAGAATGTTGGGGGCCACGTGCTGTTCACGAGCTTCTGTCTGGGACGGTGCGCACGCACACACCGGTCTGTATACATGATACACACCTGCGGACACTCACACACCTGTGTAGATGCTACACATATGTATACATGCCATACGCACACACACACACACGTACACATGCCAGACACAAGCGTAAGCTTGCCACAAAGACAAAGATCGCCTGGAACAGACTGTTGGGGCTAGTGCTGTTAGCGAGCACCTATGAAGGCCGGCACGGCACACGAGGGGGTGGATAGCCGGCACCACGCCCGGTCGCTTTTGTCTCCCCAGTGGCGATGTCTACACAACGCACCAGGTGCTCATTTGAGGCTGTGTCGACCTATACTTGCCACGCACACACACACCTGTACACACGCCACACACATACAGCTGCATACATGCCACACACACCTATACACATGCCACGCACACACCTCTACACATGCCACACACACACCTGTACACATGCCACACACACACGTGTACACATGCCACACCCACCTGTACACACACACACACCTGTACACATGCCACACACACACCTCTACACATTCATAATCAACTGACCTCTACACATACCACACACACCTGTACACACACACACACACACACCTGTACACATGCCACACACACACATACCACACACACACCTATACACATACCACACACACACATACCACACACACACCTATACACATGCCACACACACACCTGTACACATGCCACACACATACACCTGTACACATGCCACACACACCTCTACACATGCCACACACACCTCAACACATGCCACACACACCTCTACACATGCCACACACACACCTGTACACATGCCACACACACACCTGTACACATACACACACTTGTACAAATACCACACACACTGCGCGTGCCGAGCTGTGCCCCCCCCCCCCCCCCCCGTACCTATCGCGGCGCCGGCGTCGCGTGGGCAGCGGAGCCGCTCCGCTCCGCTCCGGCCCGGGTGGGGCCGGGTCCCCTCTGCCCGTCGCCCGCTGCCCCCGCTGAGTCGTGGACAGCTGCCCCGGTCTCGCTGCCCCGCGTGCTCATGCCGCTACTGGCGGGCGGCGGATTCCGTCTCCCTGCCTCGCGTGCGAGCGAGAGCTCGGATCCTCCTCCTCCTGCTGCCCCCCCCCCCCATGCATCCTCACCCACCCTCACATCACCCCTCTTCACAGCCCCCCACCACCACCACCCCTTGCTGCCCCCACCCCCTCCACTCCAAGCCGCTCACCCCCCCCGCAACCCCCGCCACTTCCACACCGCCCAGCAGCCCGGGGAGACCTGCGAGCTGGGAGCTGAGAGCGTGCGACTCTGAGCGGTGCAGCGGCGGAGGTGCATGGTGGTGGTGCTGGTGGGGGTGGTGCTGGTGGTGGTGGTGGTAGTGCTGGTGGTGCTGGTGGTGGTGTGTGCTGGTGGTGGTGCTGGTGGTGGTGGTGGTAGTGCTGGTGGTGGTGGTGCTGCTGGTGGTGGTGCTGTTGGTGCTGCTGGTGGTGCTGGTGGTGGTGCTGGTGGTAGTGGTGGTGGTGCTGCTGGTGCTGGTGGTGGTAGTGGTGGTGCTTGTGGTGGTGGTGCTGGTGGTGGTGTGTGCTGGTGCTGGTGGTGGTGCTGGTGGTGGTGCTGGTGGTGGTGGTGGTAGTGGTGGTGGTGGTGCTGGTGGTAGTGGTTGTGTGTGTTGGTGGTGGTGCTGGTGGTGGTGCTGGTGCTGGTGGTGGTGCTGGTGGTGGTGGTGCTGCTGGTGGTGGTGCTGTTGGTGCTGCTGGTGGTGCTGGTGGTGGTGGTGCTGGTGGTAGTGGTGGTGGTGGTGCTGGTGGTGGTGGTGCTGGTGGTGCTGGTGGTAGTGGTGGTGGTGGTGCTGGTGGTGGTGCTGGTGGTGGTACTGGTGGTTGTGCTGGTGGTGGTGGTGGTACTGCTGCTGGTGGTGTTGGTGGTGCTGGTGGTGGGGAGCGGTGGCGCAGTGGTTAGCGCGCTGTGCTCCAAACCCGGCGACCCGAGTTCGATTCCCGCTCACGACCAACACCAGTGACGATTATCTGAATCAGTCCTAGGCTTCTCCTAGGTCGACTCAGCCTCAAATGAGTACCTGGTGGGATGTGTAAACGTCGCCACTCGGGAGACAAAGGCGGCCGGGCGTGGTGCTGGCCACCCACCCCTCGTGCGCATTGTCGGCCTTCATAGGTCCTCGCTAGCAGCACTTGCTCCAACAGTTTGTTAAGGCTATATGGGGGATCTTTGTCTTTGGTGGTGGTGCTTCTGCTGGTGGTGGTGCTGCTGCTGATGGTGGTGGTGATGATAATGAGCGCGTCAATGCATTTCGAGGGTGCTCTGCTCCCCCGCATCAATGGGCTCCTAACCCCCCCCCCCCCTAATTAGTCGGAGCAGCGCGAAGTCGCGGGGAGGAGCTGGGGGGGAGCGGGGAGGGGTTCAAGATGAATGGGGCGAGAAAAAATATAACACGGAGAGAGAGAGAGACATGGAGAGAGATGGAGGGAGAATGGGTTTATGTGGGGGGTGGGGTGTTGAGGTGTGTAGGAGGGGGGGCTGGCAGGTTGACGAGGGCCCGAGAGACGGATCCGTGGGTAACCCTCCATGCCTGCACACCGCACGCGTGTCTACGTGTGCGTGTGTGTACACGTGCGTATGTGTGTACACGTGTGTGTGTGTGCAGGTGTGTGTAATGCAGCGGTTAGCGCGCTGCGCTAAAAAACCGGCGTCCCCAGTTCGATTTCCCGCTCACGGCCAAAGCCAGTGACGATTATCTGAACCGGTCCTGAGCCTCCCCTAGGTCGACTCAGCATCAAATGAGTACCTGGTGCGGTGCGTTAAAACATCTCCACGAGGGAGACAAAGGCGGCCGGGCGTGATGCTGGCTATCCACTCCCTCGTGTACCGTGCCGGCCTTCATAGGTGCTCGCTAACAGCACTTGGCGCAGCAGTCTTTGAAGGCTATACGGGGGATCTTTGCCTTTGTGCGTCTATCTGTTGCTGGAGCAAGCGCTGCGTTTGTGTGGGTTCAACCAGACTGGATTGTGTGGGGAGGTCACAGATCCCTGAAAGATCTGGACAGCCCCATCAGTGAGCTCCTCCGGCAGGCTGCGTTGCCTGGGTCATCCGCGTCGCCCGCGTGGCCGGTATTCCCAAGATGATTCTGTTTGACCGGGGGGCTTAACGGGCGCCGCACGGGCTACAGAATAGATTGACTGGTGCGGTAAGGGAGGATGTGGAGCTGAGTGGACTTGCCGATGACCGACACCAGCGGTGTCAAGATCGACCTTTGTTTAGGAGGCTCGTGAAGGACGCTGACTGGGCAGTTTGATGCAATCGCCCTCCAGCAACAACGGAGGGCAGAGGAGCGACGCTCACAACAACGAGCGGAGCGCCGGGCGGATTAAACGCGAGTTGGTACAGGTGGTGCATTTGCAAGTCATCTCAATCAGTCGACCGATTGCATCTGGGTGTGTCCACTGACCACATGACAACAGAGCTTTCCACACTTCAAGTAGAGGTGGCACGTCTGTGTGTGTGAGCACGTATACCAGTACCTAGTTCGGTGTGTAAACATCGCCACTAGGGAGACAAAGGCGGCCGGGTGTGGTGCTAACCACCCACCCTCTCGTGTACCTTACAGGCCTTCATACGGGCTCGCTAACGGCACTTGCCGAAACAGTCTGTTAAAGGCTATACGGGGTATATTTGTCTTTGTGTATGTTTATGGGGAGGGATTGTGTAGTAGCTACCGCGCTACGCTACGAACCCGCCCACAGGAGTTTGATTCCCGCTCACAGCCAACATCGGTGACGTCTATTTGAACCGGTGGGACGTGTAAACACCAACACTGGGGCGCGATGTCCCCCCCCCCCCTGTGCCGTACCGGCATTTAAATTGGCAGGCTCACTCACAGTCTGTCGAAGGCGATACGGCGCGGGGTGGACCGTCGTCTTTGTGTCTGTTGAGGCGTTCGTATGCGACAGTGGAGTTTGACTCGGCCTTGAACGAGCAAACTGCGCGGCCTATAATCAGCACCGTGAAGGCAGGGGCCATGATCGCGTGTGCAATCCTCACCCTTCACCATCTCGCCGCGGTGGCGAGATGTTAACTACCTCGCCTGGTGTGCAGGAGGTCGTGGGTTTGATCCCGTGACGCCTGCTGTGCATTTAAACGTTGCGTGTCTCTCCCTCTGGCCGTGGTCACGTGGAATTTTCTCCGGGTCCGTTTTTCCCCTCCGCATTGAATAATCAACGTCACCCGTTTCGAATATTTGGCTGCTGCTATAGATTCTACATTTCCACGCGCTGACGATGATGACGATGATGATGATGACGATGATGATGATGACGATAACGATGATGATGATGACGATGATGATGAGCCACTCAACTACTTCGTGGGGCTATCACTCGAGATGGCCAAGTCGCTTCCACAAAACGAGTCACGCAGCTCAGTGGGACCTTGACGTGGTACGTTTAAAGTTAAAAAAATGGTTTAAAGTCGTGATAGACGCTCGCTAACAAGCTTAATGGGAGCTCTCAGCCTCGCCGAAGTTCGGACCCCCCCCCCCCCTGCGATGATTCCAGACGGCGAGGCCGTTGGGGGTCACGGTGGGGGGGGGGCTGGGGGGGTGGAGTGGGGGAGGGGGGGCGGGGGCGGTGTGGGCGGCAGCTTGCAGCGTTAACGAATCTCATTCAAGTACCGCCCTCAATTTAACCCGAATTAAATAATCATGTCTTTCCCTCCTTGCCTCGACGGCGGAGCAGCGTGGTCATAATTATAGCTCGCGAACCGGGGAGCATCTGCACGTGCACGCGTGTGTGTGCGCGCACGCGTGTGCGCGTGCACGTGTTAACATGTGTGTGCGCATCGTCTAAGATTCTAAGTGCACGCGCGCACACTTGTGTGTGGATATTTGAGTACGCGTGTGTGTGCAATGTGTTCGAGTCCCGCTCAGTGACGATTTTCTTAACCGATCCTGGGCCTCCCCTAGGTCGACTCAGCCTCAAAATGAGTACCTGGTGCGGTGTGTAAACATCTCCACTGGGGAGACAAAGGCGGTCGGGCGTGGTGTTGACCACCTACCCCCTCGTGTGCCGTGCCGACCTTAACAGGTGCTCGCTAACAGCACTTGCACCAACAGTCTGGTAAAGCTACAAGGGGAATCTTTGTCTTTGTTGCGTGCATGTGTCGCTCCACACGTTGAACTACCCTCCCTTCTCTGTGCTTGCGAAGCGTCTCATGGAACATCTGCACCGGTATGAAACCATTCAGGCTGGCCTGCCTACGATCCATCCTGGGTCTCACCAGACTAGACGCTGTGAGGAGCTCATAGATCTTGAGAGATCTGGACACATCAGTGAGCTTCTCCGGCAGGCGAGGCTACGTTGGCTGGGTCACGTAGCCCGCATGCCCAGCCACCGAATGCTCAAGCAGCTTCTGTTTGGCCGCATAAAGGGGGGCTGTGGGGGGGCTAAACGGGCACGGGCTGGGGAAGAGATTGTAGATTGATGCGGTACGGGAGGATGTGGGAGCTGAGTGGGCTTGCCGAAGACCGGAACCAGCGGTGTCGAGATCGGCCTCTGTGGAGGAGCCAGTTGGAGGCAGTCGCCCTCCAGCAACAACGGAGGGCAGAGGAGTGACGCTCACAACAACGAGCGGGGCGCCGGGCGGCTAAAACGCCGAAATTCGACACAGCGGCGATCATCTCAGTCAGTCAACCCATAGCGCCTGGGTCTGTCCGGTGATCTCCTCCTGCCCGGCGAGCACTTCGCGTGGCCTCAAGAGGTGCACCCAGCCTGGCACAAGAGCTGTGGTCACGTCTCCGTCACTGAGTGGCCAACGGCGGCGGCTGCTGTTGTTGTTGTTGTCGCGTAGGAAGCCGAGGCGCAGTGGTTAGCGCGCCGCGCTACGAAACCGACGACGTCCAGCGTCGGTGACGAATATCTGAAGCGGTCCCGGGCCTCCCCTAGGTCGACTCAGCCTTAAAAGAGCACCCGGCGCGGTGTTCAAAAAAAGTCGTCACCGCTGGGGAGACAAAGGCGGCCGCGCGTGGTCCTGGCCAAGCCACCCCCTCGTGTACCGTGGCGGCCTTCTTAGGTTGC